ACGAATGTGGGGGAATACAAGGGACGGACATGACTGTCACCACCTACCGCCTACCCCTCAACCATGGAGAAGGACAATGCATTCAACTGTCTCTCCACACTCGAGCACCACGCCCGTGTACATAGAAACTACCCAAATCCCCCTAGGACTCCGACCCTATGGATCGACAAATAAAAGATTTGGGCACACCCGAAGGCACGATGAACCGCCACCTCAACTTAGCTCTAATTCCAATTATATGAGTTATATGAATGGTTAAGCATAAAGTCATGTATGTTAATCTCATGACATAGAGACTATGCTCTAGCTCATATGTCAAGATCATAACATAAAGACTATACTCTAGTTCATAAGTATGACTATAATTATAAGATAGGGACAAAACTTTGGAAGAACTCATATTCCTATTCATACCAAGAATCTCTTCTTTCAAGGAGTCAAGCCCTCCAAGATAGCTTTGCCTGTCTCTAGACAACTACTAAAAGGTAAAAATACAAGAGAGAGTAATGTGTTGCTCCAAGAGAGGTGTGTTGAGAGGGGAGCTCTACCCCTCTATTTATACTAGCTCTATGGCGGTTTGGAGAAGATATCTGGCGGGAACCCCAGTCTCCACCGCCTCTTCATGTCGTCCAGGCACCGCCATCCGAAGCTAGGGCTGAGAGGGGCAGGTGGCGGTGCGCCCGCACCTAGGGTGCACCCGTACCCTGACCAGCTTCTCTTGCCACTGCCTTTGTGTGGTGGACTTTGGACTGGACCTGGGCTACTCCTTGGGTGGTTTCGTGCCCAAATAATTGACTTGATGGCCCTTTCTTATCATTCCTTTGCGCAATTCAGTGTTATGCTTTGCCGGAAAGCGCCTTTTGGTGTATTTTCCATGTATTCATGTTTATGTCCTGCAAAACAATAATATCCAAATATATGTGGAATTGGTCAATAATAAATGCATATGTGCATAAGATTGCTAGTTTCTCCTCCTTTTTGTGTCTTATTTGGCGGGTAAAATTGATCGTTAAGGACTGCCAACAACACCCTTGTGCATCGTCGTCGTACGTGTATTTCCTTTTTCATTTTGACCTCGATTGATAGGAGTGTACGACGTTGGGTGCAAACTTAGCGCAATCCCATCCCATAGTTTTCATGGGTAGTTTCTAGAGGAGAAAGAGAGAGCAACAAATATTACGAAGAAACTTTCTTTTTCAACCCATAGTTTTTATGGGTAGTTTGCATGTAGAGAAGAATTGAATAACACCACGCACAGACGTGATAGGCTGTGGCAAACAACTGAGTAGCCAACATGATTACATGTCTTGATCTAATGTACGTCTCATGCAAATATATTGATAGAGAGCGATATATCAACATCTCCTTTGGTGCCATGATGGATAATCTGTCCACCTAAGATAGATATTATAGCTAATGTTGAAAAATATCATTACTGTAAAAAATGATACTACACAACAAAGGATTTGAGAATTGAGATCGATTAAGATATTGGATAAGCGTATGGTACTATGGTAAAACACATACATGGGATTAAGGTTGAAAAAGGACAGAAAAAATCCCGTTCTGACCCATTCTGTTTTCTACTTTGTTCCATCCATTTCCATATTTGTGGGATCTTACGGAAACGAGATAGGGGTTTTTCCGCCCGTTTCTGTGGGATCCCGTTTTCATCCAGAATTGACCCATATTTGTTCCGTTTTGCATCCCGTTTTCAATCTATGTCAAATATATCTAGAAATTGGTATGTTCATAAACCTACTAATCACCAATTATGCATGTTAACATGTTAAAAAATGGCATGTAATTTCGTAGGTGTATGTTATTTTGTGACTTTGTTCATGTATACTTGAGAATATTTGATCATATTATTCTAACTTAATTTTCCGGCTCTCCGTTCGTATTTGTCTGTTTTCGTATTTCGGTATATCTCCATCCGTTTTTTCCCGAACCCGATCCCGCTTCCACTTAAAATATAGAAACGGAGGCGGGAGAGGAGTTTTTGACGTGGAGAGCCGTCGTCCCTGGCGGGTGACGGTCGAGGCAAGCAGGAGGCCAAGTTCACCGTTACTGCACTGGCGGCGCGGCACTTGATCAACGCCCTGTCCCAGGCTGATGAAGAACCTATCTGCAGTCAGGCGAGACAAGCGGCCTGCCATGCACCACAAACATGATTGATATGATCCTGCAAGACTACATGCTCCTCCAAGTACACAAACCTAGGGCAAGCGCATAAGCAATGGTATAACTAACCTAAGCACTTCGTAAAGCAACTACACTAATCACCGTTGTAATCTTTAAACACTTTGGTGGCTAGAGCACTGGGGAGAGTGCCTCAACACTCCTACAACTTCAGCACACTCCAATACACTTAAAAGGACCATCCATGGGGGTATATATATAGGCCCCCAAAGAATCTAGCCATTGTGTAGCAAGCCACGGCCTTTGCGTACTCACCGGAAAGCTAGCCATTGAACTAGCAGTTGGATCTGAGGGTTTTTCTCAGCCGCTTCTCCGATGCATATCACCGGACAAATCTGGTGCCTCAATATGCTCTCTGGAATACCTCTGAACGCCACCCTTATCTCTGGTGCTGGCTTCTCCGGTGACCACCACGTGCCAATGTTTTCTCTGGTGCTGCCTGCCTAGGAACACCAGACCTACCTTTTCAGTGTTCTGTTTTCATTATATTCTATGTGTTGCAGCCGCTTTCTCTGGTGCTATCCCCTGGTAGCCACCGAGGGTCTGTTTGGAACGCAGAAATCAAAAACACGAGAATAGGAAAAAACGCAGGAATAGGGTGAGTGTGTAGTGGTAAAACAGAGGAAAGGAAAAACACGGAAAATAACTAGAAGAGGTGTTTGAAACGCAGGAATTCATAACACAGAAAAAACGCAGGAAGTAACATTATTTTTTGTTTCTCTTCTCTTGCTGTCTCGGTCTTCGTGAATCCATTGGTTTGGACTTGATGTTTTGTTTCCCGTGAAATGAATGGAGGTAGGAAACTTTCCTTTGTTTTACTGTTGAAGTTTCCTTCATCCCAAACACCAAAATGCATAACATTTCCATATGATTGGATTCCTCCATAATTCCTTTGGATTTCCTCCAATCCAAATAGGCCCTGAACTTATCCGGTACTGTTGATGCAGCATTGTTTTTCCCCGTGTCTTCGTGTCTTTGTGTCTGGGGTTCACTACTACACAAAACTTATGGGAGGCGAGCGTTTTCGATTTACCGAGGTGGGCATCACAACCGCCTCAGTTCAAAGGCCTCTGTAAATCACTTTTCTACCGAGGCGGTTACAGTGTCCGCCTCCATAAATCATTTAAAAAAAATAAAAAAAACAAAGCCCACCAGCGAGCCCGTTTTGGAGCCCACCGGCAAGCCCGCCTACTCCGCACGGTCCCACCACCGCCACCGAATGATATGGGTAATTTATAAAATGTATTAGAAGGTTATTTTGAATTACCTTTCTTAATGGCTAAGGTATAGTTTAGTTATAAATTTGGGGAGTTGTTTTGAATTATCTTTTTGTCGATGAACCATGAAAACAATTGCGGCTGTCGAATAGATGGATTCCTGGTTTCACATGGTTGACAAAATCATCTTGTTTTTTAGGCCGTCGGACCGCCGCGCTGCACCATCGAGAGTGCACCGCGCCGAAGGGAGGAGAGAGGGGGCTCCCTGTGCCGTGCCGGAGGAGGAGGGGCTGGGCTGCGCCGGAGGAGGAAGGGGCCGAGCCGACGTGCCGAAGCGTGCGAGGGAGAGGGAGAAGTGTGGGAGAGAGAGACGGCTGAGGGAGGGAGAAGTGAGAGAGAGTTGGAGAGGTGAGGTGAAACTCTAACTCCTATATATATATATATATATATATATATATATATATATATATAGGTGGATTGGATACGGGCTTTTGCTGGGCCTCGTATATATTTTCCCAGGCGGACCTTTTAAGAGGTTTGCCTAAAAAAAATGGAGGCTATTTTTGGAGACGGGCCTTCATAAATAGATTTTTGGAGGCGGTACTTTTTTTATCGCCTCCGTATATCAATTTTGAGAGGCGGTTTATTGAGATCGTCTCGGTAAATGAAAACGACCGCCTCCAAAAATCCCTATGCATTTTACGAGACGGTTGGATTTTATGACCACCTCGGTTAATGTTTGGGCAGTGCCTCGCAAAATCATATTTTTGTAGTAGTGGTTGTTCTATCTTGTGTTTTGGACTTTTAGCATGTCTTGTAAGTTTTCAACATGTCTTCTAATGTCTTGCTTGACGTGTTGGCCATCCTGACCGTCACGTTGCCTATGTCCAAGCCAACCTTGCATCAATTTGAACTTTCCCTATATACTAGCAAACTTTGTTAGTCAAAATAGTCATGTTGTTCATCAAACACCAAAATCACATAATGGCCCATGCAAGGTGTTATTTTTTTTACATAGTGTACGTGTAGTGTAGTGGTAGGATGTGAATACACACAAGGTTAAGTCTTTGAAGTGCATGGTTTTTAATCTTTTGGAATATAAGGTGTCTGACTTTGTTAATATCAAAAGACAAATTTTGAATGCTTGTGGATGGAGGTAGTATCTGTCTTGTACAGTTCAGCTTGTTCTCCATGTAGTAATTGGGAAGTTCTATCTCCAATTTCCTCGGAGATATACTAGTCGTATCAAATTGGGCTACTCAACTGATAGTCTTACTAACAATCTTGTGCAATATATATCTAATACCATATTTCATATATATACATCTAGGTACTTGCATTGGTATACCAAAAGTACTCCTACAGTCATATCGGCCAGAAGTCATTTTCATGAACATGTGAGATTCAGTTTTTTTCCACAAATGACTTCAGCGATTTTGACAGGACGAAAGTTATCACTCACCCTAACACAACCACAAACCTGCTGCACAGAGCTAACAAAATCCTGAAGGTTTCTCTCAGCCGGCACACCTGCATCTGCCGCTTGCTGAGCTCTCTCTTTCAAAGCCTTCACTCTCTCCCTTATCGCCATTGCTTTCGTACCTGACCCATGACCAACTCAACGCACCTTGCCAGCTCCATCCCAGCTAACACACCCTCGCTGTTACGCTCTCCTCTGATGCCGATCTCCCGCTCCTCCTCCACCAAGTGCGCATTCGTCAGCTGGTCGAACATGCTGGGCACGCCGACGAGTGGCACGCCGGCGGCCATGGCCTCCATCGTCGAGTTCCACCCGCAGTGCGAGACGAAGCACCCGACCGCCGGGTGCGACAGGACCTCCGGCTGGTTGCACCAGTCCACGACCATCCCATGGCCGCCGCTTCTCTGGGCGTTCTCCAGGACGTGGCGTGCACCCTCCTCGAGCCCGTCTCTGCGGGCCAGCAAGTATGGCCGTCCACACTGCAGGAGCCCTTCCACCATCTCCTCGATCTGCTGCTTGGTGTAGCTCGCTATGCTCCCGAACGACACGTACACCACCGACCTCTCCGGCTGAGCTCCGAGCCACTCCATGTACCTCTTTGTTAGAACCGATCTCCGGCGAGGAGCTCGGCACGACGCGGCACCGGCCGGTGGTGACCGCGGCGACCCCTAACAATGGCGAGAGCACGAGTTCACGCGAGAGAGAGACAAAGTGTTTTCACTGCGAATTGCGCCCACTTGATCTGGATGCATTCCTTGTTACTTAACCGGGCTGTGATCCGAGAGTCCCGCCACGACTCGATGCTGCACGGTGCGCCGTCATTTGCGGCGCTCGTGCGACATGCACGGCTATCCAGCCATGGCGGAGACCCAGCCCAACCTGAACGCGGTCAAGACGCAAACGTGCAGTCTCCGTTCCGCCCTGATTCTACGCGATTACAAAAGATGTTCAAACTGAAAATGAACTACCTAATGCACCTAAACATGACTGACACGATTACAGTTGGTTCAACACTCTTCTTGTCGGCGTCGTCGTGCTTGTACAAATGGATCCGTTCTTCGTTTGATGAGCCACCGGCGGCGACCATGGGACCGACGGCGAACACGTCGAGATGCTTCTTCATCTCCGACAGCACGGTCGCCTCCAGCTCGTCGAACGTGTTCACGAGAACCTTAGGCCGCCACTGGTCCATGCTGTCGAAAAGTTCCCGGAACATCTCGACGACGGACTTGGCCAGCGGGCTGCCCGTCGTGTCGACCGACCAGGTAGGACGGGAAGTCCCGTATCCGGAGAGGACTGCGGCGTAGCCCGGGCAGGCTGACCTCGTATGCGGGGTCGGTGACGTGAGCGGCGACGACCTCGCCGTAGCCGTGGAAGTAGTGGTACTCGGCGGCGAGGACAGTGGCCGGCTGGATCCAGTACACGTACGGCGAAGGGGACCCCGTGGCGCGTCGCGACCTCGACCGCCGCGGGCACAAGCAACGTGCACACGATGCACGTGACGGGCCTCTCTCCGGCGGCGAAGCGCGCGAGCATGCCGGAGAGGCTCTCGGTGCTCACGCCACGCGGCGCCTGCGCGCCCAGTCCTCGGGAGTTCTGGGCAAGGAGCCGTCGTCGAAGCCGTCCGAGTGGGGGACGTAGGAGATGACGCCGTCGCTGGCCTCCTCCTCGCCGGCGGCGTCAGCGTTCAGCGATGAGGGGAACATGCGGCGGTGGGCGGCGACATGCACGGAGAGCGTGGCGAGGATGGAGCCGTCGACGTCGTCGCTGAGCTGAGCGAGGCGGTGAGCCAGGGCGCGCGCTGGGTTGACGTGGCTCTGGATACCGTAGGCTACCACCAGGAAATGGCGGCCGTGCTGGCTGGTGTTCCTCGTCGGCCATGGATCTGCAGAGTGATGGGAGGAGCGCCGACTAGAGGAGTGAAATATGAGTGTGCTTTATTAGCTCTGAGCCTGGACACTGCGCAGGGTGTGTGAACGGCATCTTGATGCCCATGAAGCTTATCCACGCAGCAGGTGCCTTAAACTGGTATCTGGACTTGATCACTGTCGGGTACGTCGAACTAAGCACCGACAATGGTAATACTATATCACTGCCGGGTAACTTGGACCGACAGTGATAAAGGACCAGCATTGCTAGTTGACTGGGACCTGGCAGTGATATACAGCCATCACTATCGATTGCGTTGGACCCGGCAGTGACTTCCTGTGGACAAATTCATTTTAGTATTAAAAAATAGCAAACATTAACCAAAATTGTTTAAAAGTTTGATATGATGATGGTACCATGTACATGTTTCAAAGTTTGAATTGAGTTATTTGAAACTATATTAGAAGTGTACACATGTTGTGAAAAGTGTAGGCCCCCTCTCTTAAAATCATTTGAATTTTTTTTGGCAGGCATATGAACCCCAAATGTGCTTCCATGATAATCAATTTCGTAAGTTCAAATTGTAAATAAGTTTATCACATTAAGCCATATCGTTATTGGTAACTTAACTTCAATCACTCTTTGATATATAATGCAATACTACACACACATATATAATCCCGTGGTATAACAAATTTGAGTTCAGTGCAATCTGTGCTTCAACTTCATTATAGTAATACAACATGATAATCAATTTCATAAGTTTTTGTTTTAAATAAGTTTATATATTTCAATTGAAACATTATGTCATATCGGTATTATATTCTTAACTTAATTAATCACTCTATGATATATAAAAGAATACTATACACATAAATAATTAGCATCTTGACGGCAATGACCTTTTGAGTAAATTATTAGCTTATAAAGAACAAGATCGTGATCACCACCGGAAACGTCAAATTTGCCGAGTGTTTTTATGTTTGCCGAGTGTTTTCCCCCGGGCACTCGGCGAACAAGTTCTTTGCCGAGTGCTGCGCTAAAAACCCTCGGCAAAGAAAAAACACTCGGCAAAGAGGAGGTTTGCCGAGTGTCAAAAAAAAACACTCGGCAAAGAAGGAGTTTGCCAAGTGTTTTCTTTTTTGCACTCGGCAAAGAAATAAAATCTTTTTTGAGAAAGAAGGAGAAGAAAAAAATGAAAAAAAACTTTGCCGAGTGCCCAGATCTGGGACACTCGGCAAAGGACAAAATCTACTTAATTCCGAGTCTACAGAAAGGAGGAGAGGTAAGCAGAGCCAATGACGTGCGGGGTCCATGAGTGAAGTGGCCGGCTCCTATTGGTTGCTGTGACGTGGTTGGGAGCTGGTCATTGGGTGCCTTCGGTGCTGCCTCATCCCTTCCCATCCACGTGCACCGACTTTAGAGAGAGAAAAAGAGAGAACAGAGAGCGAGAGAAATAGAGAGAGGGAGACGGCAAGGAGAAAGCAAGCAGGGCGAGGCGGAAGTGCATGGCGCTGGCCGGGGCAGTCTACAACGGCGACGCTTGGCGTGCGAGAGGGCGAGAGCGGAGCGGGGAAGCAGAGCAGGGGCGGCAGCGGTGCTTGCTACGGCACGGTGGAGCAAGGCGAGGGCGCGGCGGACGGCATCTTCTGTCCTTCCCTGTTGTCCGCGCACAGGAGCAAGGGAGAAGAGGGCAGGGCAGAGCTGGGGGAGAAAGCGAGAGCAGAGCAGAGATGCAGAGCGGAGGGAGAAGGGGGAAGCAGGGGAGCAGCGCAGTTCGGCTCATCGGCGCAGGGCAGTGGCGGCGCTTGGTGGCTTCACGGCCGCACGTGAGGCAGGCTCCCGGCGATGCGGAGCAGCAGCAGCGGGTGGTGGTGCAGATCCGCCCTCCTCCCCTCCCTCCATGGCTCCACGGACGGGTGGCATCGCGGATCCTGTGGGATAGAGCCACCACGGCGCGGATCCGGCGGAGAGGTGTCCTCCGGCGGCGGATCCGGTGGGTTGGATCCCGGTGGCGGTGGATCCATGGATCTGACGGTTAGGAGCCCTCTGGCGGCAGGCTCCACGGCGAGCAACGCGGCGGTGTCCCCTCCCCTCCCCTTCTTCTTCTCCCGGTCGGATCTGGCCCTCCCTCTGTCGGATCCGGCCGGTGGCGGCCGAATCTAGCGGCGGGCGGCGTGGTGTGGTGGTGGTGGCGGCGGCTTTGGTGGTGGTGGTGGCCGGTGTCGGGGCATGGTGGTGGTGCTGGTGGTGGTGGTGGCGGCGGTGGTGGCCGACGGCTGTGGTGGTGGTACCGCCGGTGACTTTTTTCCCCCCGAAAAATGTTTGCTGCGTGTGCTCTGTTGGAATCGTTCGAATCGTTCGTGAATTGATCATGGGTGGTTGAATCGTCTGTGAACCGATTGAACCGTCCTCCTTTTGAAGAGAGCGCATCCTCTTTTATAGATGAAGGGGACGGATTTACAAGAGAGAGTGTGAGATGAAGAGTGTGTGTGCTACCTAGTCTTTTTGCTCACGCCGTCGGGTACAAGGCGGTTTTGTCGGCGCCCGCAACACTGTTGATGTCGGATGCATGTGATAGGCTCCATCGTGATCTTCTAGTATGGCCGATGTCGGCGCCTACCATACTGTAGAATAAATGTCGACGCCCATAACACTGTTGGTGTTCTGACATGTCTAGAAGGATATAAAGTACCCTTCTGATATGACTTGACATTATTGTCCTGCAGGTGTGCAGGATACGGTCCTTGATATTGCAGTTGACTGGAGCGCCCTGCCTTACTTGCTCTGTCTGTTTCATAGGTCTTCACCTAGCGGGCGTCCCCGGTCGGTCGTTCCCCAGTCGGCTCTGGCCTCCCGGTCAGAGAATAGCTGTAAGCAGAGGCTCGGTGTATCCCTAGTCGGAGTCGGAGGCAAGCGTCGTCCCTTCTTGGCCAGGCCTTCCGGACGGAGAGGCGGGCCGGAGTCGGAAGCGAGCGCTGGAGTCGGAGGCGAGCTGGCCAGGCCTTCCGATCGGAGAGGCAGGCCGGAGTCGGAAGCGAGCGTCGTTCCTCCTTGGCCAGGCCTTCCGGTCGGAGAGGCGGGCCGGAGTCAGAAGCGAGCATCGGTCCTCTGTTTGGCCAGGCCTTCCGGTCGGAGAGGCGGGCCGGAGTCGGAAGCGAGCGTCGTTCCTCTCTTTGGTCGATCGCCCTTCTGGCCTGTCGTTAGATTTTTGGGCCGGCCAGGAGTTGCGCGTCGTTCGCATCGTCGTCTGTTGGATCGAGCTTTTGCTGGGAAACAGGTCCCTAAGGGACCCCGAGTTTATGAACCCGACAACTACCGATCAAGATTTTCTACAAACCATCAAAGTATTTTTTTTCTCCTAAAAAGTGAGTTTTATGTGTAATAGCATAGGTGGGTAATTTTCTAGAAAACAGATCCAATGCGCAATGGATGGATAGAGTCTTTGATTTGGTGGTCAGGATGTTTCTAATTAATATGAGAATTTCTATTATTTATCTTTTTTAGCGTATCTGATGAGAATTAACATGAAGAATATATTGGGACATCTAATTAGTAATAGTAAGATTTGTTTGCCTAAAGATCGCGGGGCCTGGTCAGCGAGGACTTTAAAGCACCACTGAGCCAGGGAAACAAAATCTAATTTCAGTTCTCTCGGACTCGACTGTTGTCGCGCTCACCTGGGCCAAATTAATAGGCCAAATAGTTGTTTGAGAGAAAAGTAACCAATCATTTAGAACGACCGTAAAAACAGTACTTTCTCCGTTTTTTTTTTGTTAGATGTCGTATTAAATCAATGGCTTAGTTCGGCTTACCCCATATCCGGTTTGTTCGGCTTCTTTTTTCAGCCGGAATAGTATTTTTCTCTCACAACATTTCAGCCAGAACAGTGTTTTTTCATCCAATTTCAGCCAAGATTTAGCAAGTCTGACAGTGTTTTCAGTCAATTTCAGCCAATATGTCTTTGATCATTAACTTCAAAAGATTTATATAGATTTATGTCTATGTTTTTATATTTACTATGAGAAATACTTTCATAATATATAATTTGTACGTTTGTGAAATTATAAGAATTTTTTTAAATATTTATCAAAGATAGTAATATTTGACTTAGGACAAAACAACTTATGGAGTATATACTGCAAGTAAAACTAAAATTGACATCGTACTTTTGACTTGACGGAGTGTATATCAACTGAGCCATCAGTGAACTTATTGAGGGGACCGTGCATGCTCTGTACTGTGGTCATGATCAAAGGACCAAAGGGATTATTAAAAGCACTGTACATGCACTTCAGTAAAATTAAATTACTAAAACTAATTCATACATGATCAAGGGATCCGTAT